GGAGAGGAGGGAGGTTTTTGGCCTGGGGGCAGGGGGGGGGGGGAGGGGGGGGGTGCTGTCAGACACTAGCTTAAGAAGCTGGAAGGGAGTTAGCTCGGGGGGGTCACTTGGAATATGAATTATTAGCTATGGGGGAAAGTAAAGGAAGTGTTATCTCAGGGATCAAGTATTAGCAGGGGGAGGAGTGTTAGTTCTGGGGGTCAAACACTGATTGCAGAAGATGGAGTGTTAGCCCTGAGAGTCAGACATTAGCTGGAGGAAGAGTGCTAGCTCTGGGGGTTAGACATCAACTTAGAACAGTGGTGGCGAACCTTGGCAATCCAGCTGTTTTGGAACTACAAGTCCGATGAGGCCTTGCAAGGCTCTGACAGCCACAGACATAACTCCCAGAGGCAGATGCATGTTGGGATTTGTAGTTTTGGCACAGCAGGAGTGCCAAGGTTCGCCACCACTGACTTAGAGAGTTGGGAGTGTTTATTCTGGTGGTCAGACAGTCAAGAAAGCGGGGAGGGGGAGGCTTCTGGGGGTCAGACATTAGCCTAGGGAGCTGTGGTGTTTACTCAGGGGGTCAGACATTAATCGACTGAAAAGTTAGATCTGGGGGTCAGACATGAGCGTTAGCTCTGAGGGTTAATGACAGCTGGAGAGGAGCATTAGCTCTGAGGGTCTTACAATAGCTGGGGAGTCTGGAAGAGATTAGGTGGATGAGCAGTGCTAACTCTGGAGGTCAGACACTAGTTGCAAAAGATAGAGTGTTTGCTATGGAGGGAAGACATTTACAAGAGGAGGAGTGTTAGCTCTAAGGCTCAGACAGCTGGTAGAACAGTGTTATTTCTGGGGGTCAGACACTAGTTTGAGAAGTTGGAATACTAGTCCTGGGGATCAGACACTAGTTGCAGAAGATAGTGTTAGGCCTGGTTCACACCTAGACGGCACTGTTTCTGCACGAGAAGCGTGCGGTTATCCGTGTATTTATGCGCGTACATTAAGACGCGCGTTTTGACTGGCAGCTCATGAACCATTGTGGGCAATGGAAAAACACGCCCAAAAAACGCTCACGAAAATGTGCAACATGCTTCTGCCGTGCGTTTTTGGCCGTTTCCATTGAAGTCTATGGGGCAAAAATGCGCTTTTAACTGCCCAAAGAACCTCATGTACCTTTTCTAGCATTTGGCTTTTTTCTGCTAAGGGGTGAACCAGGGCCATTGAAAATAATGGGATTTCTTGTGTTGGACAATTAAAAGCGCGTTTTCAAAAACTCCTAGGTGTGAACCAGGCCCTAATTCTGCGGTCAGTAGAGGAGAAGCGTTAGCTCTGGGGGGGTCAGGCGCCAGCTAGAGGAGAAGCGTTAGCTCTGGGGGGGTCAGGCGCCAGCTAGAGAAGCTTTAGCTCTTGGGGCCAGATAGCTGGAACAGTTATTTTTGGGGGTCGGGCACAATTTGTGTGAGCTCTGTGGAACTGCCACTAGTTGCAGAAGATGAAACGTCAGCACTAAGGTCAAACAGTTGGGAAAGTGAATGTTAGCTCTGGGGGTAACAGATGTGTTGGGTGAAATGAAGTGTTAGCCCTGTGGGTCAGGCATTACCTGGAGGAGGTAGGGTTGCCACCTGTCCAGGATTCACCCGGACAGTTCGGGTTTTGAATGCTCTGTCCGGGTTTCATGGCAGCAGAAACCCGGACACAAGATGTCATGCAGACAGGGGCAACCAAAATTAAGATAGGGGCTACTAGAGTGTTCGGGTTTCGCTTGAAGAAAAGGTGGCAACCCTAGGAGGAGGTGGAGAGTTAGCTCTGGGGTCATATTAACTGGGGAGATAACGTGTTAGCTGGAGAAGATGAAGTGTTAGCTCTGGAGGTCAGACTTTGGCTAGATCGGATGCGGGGAGTAAGTTCTTGTAGACAGGCGTGGGTAAAATGTGCAGTTGGGAATAGGAGTAGGGCAGGGCCTAGGACTAGGCCTCAGAAGCCACAGGCTGGCTCCCACACCCCCTCCCCGGTGCGTGTAGCAGGAATCCCTCCCCTCCTCCCACCCATCCCTGGCTGAACTGCGGCCTGCTCCCCTCCCGGACACGGCCGGCCTCACCTGCCGGACCCGGTGGTGCAGCGCGTCCGCGAATCCCTCGGACTTGATCCCCACAGGAACCGCGCTCTGTCCCGGCACCAGCTCCGCCATGGCACCCGCCACCCACAGGAGGAGGCCGCCGCTTTCACCACCGACCTCACTCACTGCGCCCGGGTAACCAGAAACGGAAGCTCAGGCCGACACGGCTGAATTACTTCCGCCGGAAAAGAGGCGACATACGTTGAGAAGCACAGTGACCGAGATAGAGCGCTCTCAGTATGACATCACGCCAGGCCAGAGCGAGGCTGCACCGGAAGTTCCCGGCAGTCGGCAGAGACATGTGTTAGTATTTGAGGCTGAACCTTGCGTTGGGCATCTGGGGAGGGGGGCGATGGAGTTCCCAGATGGCCATGTTCCTTTCTGCCATACTGGAGCCTCTCATCTATTACCCGGGCAACATACTGTATACATGACATGATTATCTCACACATCTGAGTTTATTGGTAACTGACACTTGTATAGATATAGAGCCAGTTCTGCCACGTGTACCACTCTGCCCCAGCTACCATCTGTGTCAGTGACATTGGCTCTTCTCCGTTGAGTTGTCTTTTATAGCAACATAAATAAATGTATATGCAATATACATATGCCGAGTGAGATGCCTCTGCTTTCACAACATCTGGGTTGCCACCTTTTACTGTGGCACCACCCAAGGACCTGTAAGAGGCAGAAGCAACATGGGAGGGAAATACAACTTGTAAACCCAATCACAAAACTCTCACATAAGCTTGGACATGTTAATAGTATTTCAAAAGTAATTATGCATATTTTTCCATTTGGAGTTTTCCGTCAAATAATCTCAGGTGATCCTGTGTTCTAACATAATCCTGGACTTCGTGAGACATCAGCACCGCGCGTCCAGTAATTTTACTGTAATGTGGCCGGCTGAATGCGCAAGCGCAGAAGAGGAGTCCAGAAATGTTATAGGCTAATTTGCCTGTAGTACGCATATGCAGGTCCAAACATTTAAAAGCCGCATTGAAGTTAGGAATTATCATTGTAATAGAGCATAAAATATGACTTAAAGGAGAACTATGGGGTTAAGTCTTTTCCCCATAGTTCTCCTTAGGGTAACGTGAGGACACAAACTAGCGTCCTCCAGTCACCCTAGGCTCAGTATACCGCGAGCTGTAGCTCGCAGTATACTGAGACGCCGCAGTATACCGTGAGCAGCTGCTCGCGGTATACTCAGACGCCGCAGCTGAAGCGGATCACGACAATTGTGCCGGGATCCGCCCAGCTGCGTGACTGACATCTGGCTCTGCCTATCTAAAGGCAGAGCCAGCTGTACCCGCCCCCTCCCCCGTCCGTTCCGCCAGTCAGCGCTGGTGGATCGGAGCGGGGATGGGGGAATCCAGCCCCTCCCCTGTCACGGCAGAGAGCCGTGACAGGATCGAGAGGTGAGCGAACGCCGGTATGTGTTCGCTCACCTCCCGATCTACTGAGCCGACCTGTGACAGTCATTGTCACAGGTCGGCTAGAACTATGAGGTGAGTGAAAAGCACTCACCTCATAGTTCTCCTTTAAAGTGACATTAAACCCTCAGATTTTTTAACATAAACCAATACTGTAATGTGTGCCTTACTGTAATCCATGGTTGTTGTTTCCCTTCTCTTTGCTGCTCTTCCTTTTAAATCCTCATGTCTTCTCATGCTTGGGGGAGAACTTCCCTTTTCAGCTCAGGGCCTCTTCCTGTAGTGCTGGCTCAGGTTACAAGTCTATAGAAACCTATACACAGACACTGTGTATCCATTCCTGAGACAAGGCAGATCTCCTGCAAAACAGAAGTTCTGCACAGCATGAGAACAGATACAGATTTAAAAGGAAGAGCAGCAAAGAGAAGGGAAACAACCATGGATTACAGTAAGGCACACATTACAGTATTGGTTTATGTTAAAAAATCTGAGGGTTTAATGTCACTTTAAGCAAAAACATTTTTTTCCATTTAGGTATTGTAGGGAATATTTTATACCGCTGTGAGTTCTTTACCATCTATAAAAGTTTCCCTGTAAACACAACCAGAAGTAAGACAAACTTCTCAGAAGCGAGGGTAAATCCTCTCTGAAGGCTCATCCACACCACGTCAGTTGAGCTGTTTTGACCTGCACAGATCAACACAGGCTCAACACCAGGGAACATGCAAAAAAAATGCAAACCTGCATTTTTTTGCAACGCATCTCATATCACCGACATTCATCATAACAGGGTGCATATAAATGAATTAAATCTTTTTGTGACAGTTTAATAAAGTCGTGCCTTGCAGTGTAACAACACCATTTCACAATGGACACCAGCCCACATCCGTTTTAGCTCGTGGGCTGGTATAAATGAGCCCTTAGACCAGGTGTAGGCAAACTCAGCACGCCAGTTGTTGTGGAACTACCCTCATAAGGCATTTTAAGACTCTGACATCCACAGACATGACTCCCAGAGGCACAAGTCGATTTTTAGTATCAGCAGAGCTGGAGTGTCACGTTTGCGTAACCCTCCCGTAGACATTTGTGGCTGCAACGAGTGTCTCCGTTGGACAATTTCCTCTTTATTTCTGTTCTCATGGCAACTCAAAATGTTTAATTGTCCCTTATTTTCAGTCCCTGTGACAGTGGTCACCAGGCCAAATAGAGAGGGTATATCTTCTTAACCTAGTGGCGAGAAGGGCTCTACAGGTGCACCTTCAGACCCTGACGGGCTGTTCCCTCCATGAGGCAGCAGGGGCGAGGTTTGAACAGAAGGACAAGAATGGTAAATGGTTGGCCCGGTTGGTGGCAGATCATCATCCCCTAACAAATGTCCCGTGCATAACCACAGCGTTGGGGGAGCGAGTGACAGATCCGGTCAGGATTATGGAGGAATTTAGATTGTATTATAGCGCTCTTAATGCTCCGATTGCGCCTTATGATGGGGACGCACTCAGCTCACTACTGGGGGGCTGGGGCTTCCTTGTCTTGGGCAGTCGATAGGGAATCCCTGGAGGCGGAGATCTCAGTCCGGGATATAGAGAGGGCGATTTGCACCTTCCCGGCTGGTAAGGCCACGGGCCCGGATGGCCTGCCAAGCGGAATGGTTTAGATACTATTTATCTCAGACGACCTCGCGATTGCAGGAACTGTACAGGGAGATTACCGGATTCCTTGTATGAGGCAAATGTGGTCCTAATACCGAAACCGGGGGAAGGACCCACTGAATTGCTCCTCCTACCGCCCAATAGCTCTTTTAAATATGGACTTGAAGATTCTGACCAAGATCCTAGCGATGAGACTTGGGGGGGTTATCACCTCCCTGGTTAATATTGACCAGACTGGATTTATCCCAGGAAAGTCCACTGACACTAACCTGCGCAGGGTCTTCACAAATCTCCAACTCACCCATACTACGGTGGGATCTAGGGCTCTGGTCTCCTTAGATATTGAGAAGGCCTTCGGCTCCGTAGACTGGGGGTACATGGGGTCTGTCTTGCATCGTATGGGATTTGGCCCTAACTTTTGTAGATGGATTGCCGTTTTGTATAGAGAGCCTACAGCAGCTCTGAAGATAGGCTCTGCCTTATCAGATAGCTTCCCGGTGAGGAGGGGTACCCGCCAGGGGTGCCCCCTGTCGCTGGGGTTGTTTGCACTAATGATGGAACCCCTGGCTGTGGTCTTGCGTACGTCCACGGCGCTGGAAGGGTTCAAGGTGGGGACTATTGAGGAGAGGCTCGCTCTGTACGCGGATGATTTAATTTTGTTCCTGGCGGACGCAGGCCCTTCGCTTAGAGAGGCGCTGAGGATTCTGGATCAATTCTCTGTGTTCTCTGGCTTGAGAGTTAACTGGGCCAAATCCCATATCCTGCCCTTAGATGACGGCACTGTGAACTCGGCAGATGGATCAGTCCCTCTTGCAGTGGGTCTCACAGATCACATACCTAGGAATTAAGATCTCGGCTAGGGTGGGAGATTACCAATCCTTGAATCTGACCCCGGCTCTGGTGCAGATTAAGGGAAGGTTGCTGGCGTGGAAACACTTGCCTATTTCCATGATAGGAAAGGTCAATCTGCTTAAAATGAAGGTTCTTCCTGTGTTGTTGTGTTTCTTATAAAACTTCCCGGTTTGGGTACCTGCAAGTTTTTTCCGAGGTGTGACTGGCATGTTCCGGGACTTTGTGTGGGGCTCACAGGTGCCGAGGCTTCGGATGCCAATCCTGCAGGCACCTTGGACGGGTGGAGGACTGGCACTGCCTGATATGAGGAAATACTATCTGGCTGGACAAATGGTGGTTGTGCACAGGTGGCTGGTGGAGGAGGACAGTGACTCTGCGGTGGTGCTGGAAGCGGCGAGCTTTTGCTCCTATGAGGCCTTGTCATCCCTGGTATATATGGGATGCGGGGCCCCTTATGACCTCACACTCTCCATGCGGGCTACCTTGAAGGCGTGGCAGCAGGTGGCGAGTGCACTTGGGGGAGGAGAGCTGCTTGTGTCCCCGCACATTCCTCTGTGGTGGAACCCAAATATGGAGCACTTTCATACTATAGCGGATTGTCATGTCTGGGCCAGGAGGGGCATAAAAAAGTTGGAGGACATATTCACTGATGGGCGTCTTGCGAGTTTCGCAGACTTGCGTATTAAATTTAAACTTCAGGGATCCTTTCTTTTCAGATATATGCAGCTCTCCTATGCCTTCCAAGCTCAGTTTACACCCACATCGAGGAGTTTGGTGCCTCTGCATTGTAGTGCATGCTGAGAACCCAGGGGCTTTGTAAGCCGTTATCAACGGTATACACTGAGTGGCCAGATTATTATGACCACCTGACGTTTGTAGGCAAATTAGCTATAATTAGCTGTAATTTTGTGCTGAAATTGCTAGAGGGCCAGACCATTATAAATAGGGAAGCAGGTTGTTTACCACGACGGTAGAAGTTATTTTTTTCTGAAGATATTTGTAAACAACCCGATTTACCAGCCTTTGAACGTGGGATGATTGTTGGCGCTCTGAGCCATGGAGCGAGTATCAGCAAAACAGCAGAATTCATTAAATGTTCAAGAGCAGCTTTTGTTAAAGTGTTTAAAGACTGGACTGTCAGCCGAAAATCTGGGTCTGAACGTGCGAATTGTGGCCGTCAGCGACTAGTCAATGTTAGGGCAGAACAGAGAGTGGCAAGACTGGTACAAGACAACAGAAGGGCAACAGTGC